ATCGTTATCCAATTCTCACTCCCTTTATCAGCATGGTTCGCCCATGTATCATGGATCGTCAGGGGGCGTAGTGATGCAGCCATCGAGCTATTCCGACTCCGCATCGAGTTCTTACCTCCAATCCACGTTGCCACCACTATACCCTTCCAGAATGGTCTCCCTTGGTTATGGATCGTCTGCTACTCGAAATGGTGCAGCCACTCCGCCATCTTGGAGTCCTCATGTCACCTCGGATTCTGTGTACAACACAACTGGTGGATCTTCTCCCAAATACACGTACCTGGGATCCAGTGAACCATCCGCAAGACCACCAGGGCTGAGTTACCAAGGTTACAGTAGTGCAGAATTGTCGTCTGCTTGGAACAACTATGGTACTTCCGGTTCTTCCTTGATGACCCAAGAACCCAACGACTCTCCGAAAGGTAAGACAATGTTTTTTTGTTATAATATCCTACTACTTTCTTATCAATAGCATGACATCAACAGGGTTCGAAACCTTAGTACTTCAACAATAGATTCCCAAATGGACAATCTGAAATAGCTCCAGTTTATTTTGAGATCAACATTGTGATGTTGTATCTCTGGCCATGTATTCTCAAAACGATCCTAGTGCTAGGATGTCCTAGGTTCTTATTTTCTAACATTGATTCTAAGACATCTTAGCTCTAAGATCGTTTCGATAATGGAGCTTTGACCATTAAGTAATCTTTATTTTTGTGGTTTGACAATCCCCTTACGCACTTAAATAAAACCAAGGACGTTTAATATATTTCCCCAAGTTACAGACTGTGATGTTTATTGTCATTTCGCTGAGGTTAATTACTTTGAAGTAGTTACTTCCCTTCATAACTCTTCAATCACAAAGCCAAAAAGGGAAAAAGGGTATGAGTGTAATTCTCCAGTCATAAAGTAAAAAAGGGCACGGGTGTAAAGCTTTACTTAACAATCTAAAAGGAATCCGGATGTAAATTTTCACTTAACAAGTTATAACAATACAGAGTATCCTGTCCTAAAATTTTCGAAATTCTAAAGGTTGAAATTTGAAGGTAGCAGCTGACTTATCTGTGTCTTGGTATGTCATCTGGGAAAGCTCTCATGGTATATCAATAAAGAGAAAGAAAATGCCAAGTCTAACTCCATGTTAGTAAAGCAAATCAAACCTATCAGCAGAGTCATTCTCGACAGAAATACAATTTGGAGTTTCTGATCAAAATGCTAAGTCGACAAGGCGACAAGCTACACACTGACTGATATCCGGTGGTTCGGAAGGGACATCATTTCGCGAAACCTTCCAATAACACTTATTGATGTACACTGAAAACAATTTGGGACGCCTTTGAAGCGAATGTGCATTACTTTGTACTAAGCAAAGAATAGTAAGGACACATATCGGCCAACAATAATCAATCTAAAAAGTAGCAAAATGTAGCTACGCAGGAAAATCCAGACGACCTACTTCTATAAGGTGTAGTAATACCTGTCGCGGATTGATTTATCATGCTTAATGGTATTTGTTTAAGTTAGGGCGGTAATGAGACATAGTTGGGTTGTTAGGGAAAATACCAATAACGACGAAAGAGAGAATATCCATAAATATTCTAAAAGGACGACAATTTAGTTTGACCTAATTTCTCGGGAATCTTGTCCACAGAAATCAACAGGGTAACCTCCTCGGGCTTGGACGATCCTTTCCATAAATTAACATTATTAGATCCAAAAAGGATGACAGAAAGAAGCCACATTATAGAAACCTAATGCTTTCCAACCCAAAGCACTGAGACAACATGTCGAGGAATCTTTAACGTACACAGCCTGTAGCCCATGGAGCTTGGTTTATTGTCCCATCCGAACCCTAAAATGCAGAGATGAGCCGAACAAGGCGGTGTTAAGTTCTGAATATGAAGAATTCTAACCTGTGTCTTTCGGAGCAGTAAGGCAACTTGTGGAGAAAATGCAGAGATGAACCAACCTGGAGGTTGTAAAGTACCAGCGCACCTGTCACCCGAAGCTTATATTAAAATGATATTGGCCTATTTGAAACATGTTTGCTAATATGATTAAGCGACGTGTTTGTATGTGACGGGCAATATACAAGTAATTTGATACCCAACACTAAATAGTCGTGTTCACAATTAATTTAAAGATCCATGGACAGGACAGAATGGTATATAGAAAGTCAATAATGGTACGAGATATGAGCCATCTTAGCGAGTGTAATTTTCTATAACCTAAAGTTTAAACACCACAGAATCTAAAATGTAAACGATGATGAACTCAACGAGCAAAGGTAGAGCATTAGAAAAAAAACTAGAGAACAAAATTGTAAGAAGTGTATATCTAGTCCCTAGTCCTACATTCCTGGTCCTACTCGGTCCCGGAGATGATATCACACTCGTATATCTCTTCTGAGGGATAAACACGGTAGGGCCGGATTCACACATATCCTACGATCAAAAATATATTTCGTATTGGACAAAGAGCTACCAGAGTTTAACTACTACCAACATCAATTCAAAGACATGTTGTTAATGCCCTGCAGCTTCCGGAAACAGTCGTAAATTGTCGAATAAGAAAAGTCGACAAGGAATCTGAATATGATTAAGACCAAAAAACCCATCTAAACTGCTGATCAAAAATTGAGTAGATGAGGAAAACTAACATGAAAGAAGATTTCTGGATTCTGAAATACCCGTAGATTGCCGATTGATAACATAGCTGGTGAAGGGTTCAAGGGGCAATTAGGATCAATTTTGACCCACATGAATATAGATCCCTTCTGTACCCTTAAACCGCCTCTTTAAATCATGAACGTTAGTCTAAATATTAAATAGGAATATTAATAAGACGTTTCTCGTGAGTGAGACTAGAACGAAAAGGGGGCGTTACTCAAATTTTTAAATAATATTTCACCAAATTTCACTGTAACTCAAATCCAACAAGGCAACAAGATGGACGAATTCAATCTGGAAGCTTTTATTAATGACACATCCATCCAAGGTAGAGACATTTTCTTTTTTATACTATTAACGCTGTGTGATGTACGCTGACGTGCTCACTCTGCAGTCCGCGTTGAAATATCACGTCAAAAGTACCAATTCTTTTAGACTATTCCAAATCAGCGTTTTGAATGAACAACTAGTAGACATAATCCAACAAATTCAGAGAAATTCATGAAAAAATGTCCCTAAACCGCAGATAAATCAAAAAATCCCTTTATGTTTTAGAGTCACTTGGTTTACGTCCGATTTACAAATCGACTTTGATATCTTATCGGGTTTAAAACCTGTTTTATCAAGAAAACTGTTATCAAATTTATTTATCAAGACAAACAATGACCAAACCTATTATCTGTTCGCCATTATCAGCCATCGAGGCCTTTATCTCGGCTATTATCAATCTTTTATTGAGCTTATCACTGTACAAATTAAGATAAACCGCTTTTGAAATTCATTTAATCCACCGCTTATCGCAGTAGGCTAACCTTTGGTCGTGTGAAGCAAGCTTGTTTTTTGGATAAAGGATTCTCAGTACCAAGTACCAAGTTTTTGTGAATAAGTGATTGTGGGGTATTGATTAAGGAGGATGCCCCTCGACCCTCAATAAACTGGATTCTGTGTACAACACAACTGATAGGGGTTCACACATAAACGCTTCTCAGTGCCAACATTTTGTGACTAAGTGTACAGTTTTGATTAAGGGGTATGTGCCCAATAATGTGGAGTAAAAACTTCAGGGTCACACCCATTGAGCCCTTCACTGTTGTTGAAGGCGGAAGTTTGCTTTGTTAAGAGGATAGCTAGCTCTTGAGTTTTGAATAAGGTAGAGTGTGTTATGTTAATTCTTTTAACCGTACCAGGCTATCGAGATGACTGCCTGACACCTCAACTAACACCACTGCCACATACGCAGTTCAATTTCTCGTGACTAAAAAGTGCCAGGTCCGATGGATGTTTTAGTCTTTTTTCATGATTTCCTTGCTCGTGGTTCTGACGCTCATGAAGCAAACCCAACAGGGGTTGACTGTGATGATTTCGTCTTCGTTAAAAATAATTTGGATACGCAATTGAGTAAGAAATTCTAAAGAGCTAGTTTTAACATGGGAATGAACGTTCGAAATTGCGAAATTTAGATACGAATTCAGAACAGCTTGTGAGTGATGGGAGCCTAAAACCAATCTTGTCCTAAAGGATATAGCCTATTGTATTACCAAGTTGATGAAATACATAGAGTTGGGGGATTACACCGGATATAAATACCAAGATTAAACTTTGACTGGATTGGTTGGAAATTTAAGACTAAGTCCATTCAAGATGATCAGAGTTTAAAAACGAACCATCTCCCCTTTCTATCGAAAGCACTGGCCGTTCAATAACACATCAGTTGTTATTTTATTTATCATTTATCTATGAAATTAATCTATGCATACATTTATTAAAATATCCACGAGTTCTATTTTTTTATCACTCATCAAATCTATTCCATATTAAAAGAATTATTCATTCATTAACCTAACTATCCATTAAGTTAATCTGTAATTATTCATTTATTTATTCATTCATTTTTTTTATTTCAAGCATTTTACTCATTTTTTAATTGTTTATTCATCTATTCCAAGCTTTAAAAATTGTTTATTCGACTATCCATTTGACTATCCATGAAATTAATTTATGCATCAATTTATAAATTTAAATTTATTTAATTATTCAAATTCATTTATTCATGTTTATATCCATCCTGTTGTATGCATAAATTTATTAATACATATCTGCATTTATTTAGTTAGTTATTTATTTATTCCATTTAGGCTATAATTAATAAATTATTCATGTATATTTGACTATCCGTGAAATTAATCAGTGCATAAATTCATTAATTTTTAATTAAGTCAAATTATGGTAGAAAATAAATTATTATCAATGAAATTATTCATACGTTTATTTTATTTATTCATTTATTAAATTAATTTATTCATTTCAGCCAATGATGATTTTTACTCCGAGGGTCGGGAATGTGTGGTGTGTGGGGCGATGTCAACTCCCCTGTGGAGAAGGGATGGCACCGGGCATTATATATGTAACGCCTGTGGCATTTACCACAAAATGGCTGCCAATGGCCGACCTGAGAGTAAACCTAATCTAACAGAAAACAGAACGGTAAGTTTGGGTTTTTCTTAAATTCTGGGAAGATCCCTGGTCGGAATTGTTCTTGGTTGTTTTTGACTGCCCATGAAAGGGTCAGTATCATTTAGATCTGTTTGCTAATGAATTTCTTTGTCAATCTGGATAAATATAGCCCATGAAAACCTAAGAACATTAAACGTTGTCTTGTGAGCCACACGATATATCTAAACACAGATCAAGAAATGAAGGTTGACATCGAGCTAACAATTACCTGTTTATGACAACCAATAAAACCATAAATATAAATTATATTATGTTGACTCAGGTACAAGTTGTCAACTAGATTCGACCTAAATCTAATCCTATACAGAATCTATTCTATCTGGATACGAAATAATTTTGTGAGAGCAAGGTGACTTTGATTTGATTTTTGAATGGAAGGTTTGGAATTTTGATTGGTTTTAATTTTAAATGAAAATTTCGGAATTCTGAGTGCCTTACCTTTAATTTTGAAAGTCGTTGGATTGTGGTTTAAGTATAAAATAAGGAACAGGAGTAGTTTGATTGGTTTCTCGATTTGACTCTTTAAGTACGAAAACAGTTTATGTTAGTTAGTGTTACATCATTTAGTGTATTTGATTCATTCAATTTATTAACTCAATATTTATTTTGTTCAATTCATTTATTCAATATTTATTTTGTATTAATGTATTCAATTTATTCAATTTATTTAAGTTAACTAAGTCTATTTATTTAATGAATTCCAAATATTCAAATCAACTCTCCGATTAAATGCATTTATTGTATTCGATTCATTTAATTATTCATTCCAGTTATTCAATTCAATTCAATTCAATTTATTTTATATTTGAATTTATTTCATTATACACATACATAATTCAATTCAGTCTATTCATTTTTTTCACATTTTTTACATTTTTTGATTAAATTATTTGAATAAATTTAAATATTCTTGCGAATTTTGAATAAGTTTATTGACAAGAGCTCAACTAAATAATCCCATAAAGTTATCAAACTCAGTCAGTTATAGACCACCAGTACTTAACCTATGGTACTTGTATTTTGAAGGTTACTGGCTCAGTTATGATATTTCGGTGTTGTATTCTAGGGACTAAAGGTTCACAAGTTAAGGGTTAAGTGATATTGACTGAAGGGATTATCTTTACAGGATTAGGCCAGTTGTAAAATTATCCTAGAGACAGAAAGATAATATATATGGGTTATACATTGATAGCGTATTTACAAGGAAAATGACACAAATAATATATCTCAGATAACAGTTTTATAAACTTTCAAAGTTTGAAATCTTTTAATTTTTTTTTATCATTCTAAATAATTGTACTTTGGACTAAATAATTCATTGATTTATTTATTTTAATTAATCAATTACTAATCTTGAATTTTTTCAGTTATCAGCTGTAGAGGAAGATAGACCAAGGAAGTTCTTAGATAAGGTACAACTAACTTAATAACTTATCAAAACTGTTATAACATGTATCACTTATTAGAGACTCTCCGAGTAATTACGGTAGCTGCATCATAGCGCGACAAAAAGCATTATACAAAGCTTCTCAATGATAAATTAGCTAAAGGTGATCCAACATACGAACTACATTGGCATAAGAAATCTGAAAGGGTGTCACTTACTGTTTTCTGGATTTCAGCAAGCCGGAAATAGTCGGAGAATGGGATTGGCATGCGCCAATTGTATGACAAGTACGACAACTCTGTGGAGACGAAATGCTGAAGGCGAACCAGTGTGTAACGCTTGTGGTCTATACTATAAACTCCATCAGGTAAGGAAATGTCATGTTCTTTGAGGTTTGCCAGAACAGTTCAATAAGGCAACTCTTCTTCGACTTCCAAAGTAACTGCCAATAACTTTTAGACGGATCAGTTTGCAGAACATTGGAATTATAGTATAGAAGATCTCTGCTATTTTGTAGGTGAACCGACCAATGTCCATGAAAAAAGATGGAATCCAAACCAGAAAGCGGAAACCCAGAACACCTTCAAAACTAAAAACATCACCTAAAGACAACCAACAACGTCATGTGCCGAGTGAACCAACACAAACCTTACCTCCCCTTAGCTTACCATCCAGTCACCAGGGCGCGCTGCATCAGCATAGAACCAATCAGAGCCAAGGTCTCTTGGATTTAACTCTACAGCGGTCAGAGGCGCATCAAGGTAGTTCATTTTGAAAACTTAATTAGCATGGACAATCTGAATTGAGAGACGGGTACTCTTACTTTGTAGTTTTTGTTGGTCTTAAATAACGGATATCTTGTCAATAAGTCGTCTAAAGGCATCAGGTGAGCGTAAAATCTTGGACTTCAGTACTCTTGCCTCTTCTTGCAACACCAGTCTTTTATTTTTGAGTAGTCTGTGTGAAGCTCATTCGGAACAGAGTTGCTTAACCTCCATTTTGTTGAATTTCAGTGCTCGAAACTAAGCCATTGCCGAGCTTCTCGACTTATGATGGCAACTCAGCAGTGCTACGAGCCTTGACCTCACCAACACAACCACCAGCTTTACTACCAATGACGAGTCTTGCCTCTAGTTTAAGCCATAGATACCACATGACCGACCTGCCTCGATATCACGAACCATCATCAGTTCGTCTGTACAGCCAATCAGAATTGATGCACGACCGAATGTACGGTCACACACCCCAGCATCAGGTTATTAGTGATCGGATTTATGGACTCGAACCGTCTGGAGATCGTACTGTCTATAACCTCGATTCTAACATAATGCTCAAACCGGAACCAATATTCTCTCCGTCACCTCCAAAAGCAGTTCCGGTCAATGACGTCATGACAGAAACGGAACAAGCTACTGCATCTATAGGCGGAAATGACATCATGCCGTTGAAACCAGCGTCGGTAAGCTAACATTTATGCGGAACTTTAATCATAGATCCAGTGTGTCTGCTGCTTGGAAGAACGTCACCTTTATTCTGCAATATCGTGTCACCGTGTTGATCAAGGCTTCAAGATCTCCAAGGGCAACAGATACGATAAATTCCATGCTACGGTCTGCCAGTATTCCTTTAACATGCCCCCTCCCCTAACAATTTAAACATTTTACCCCCCCCCCCCCCCGTACCTCCCACCCGCTTCATTATTTACTCAAACAACTACACATAAACACGACTGTATCCGAACCAGAGATTGGTATGATATTGTATATACCCTAGTGGAGTAGAAACGAGAAGATAAAGTGCTATATTTATGTTCATATCATAAAGACCCTACCAGCTATTGTTTCATATATAAATAGTGCTCGTCATATTTTGTGATTTCGTATCAAGGACGTTATCTTTGGGACACAATCTTGTGACTCAAAACTAGCATCGCTTATTCAGTGCTCAATGTTTCATTTTAATTAACGTATTGTATTGCTTTTATACAGAAACTTAAAAATTTGGAGTCATAATAACTCTAAAATAGTTTGGTTATTGTTAAATCTGTAAGGGATGTAACTCTGAATTACAGCCCTCCATTACTTATTTCATTGAAACGTAAGGGTAATTTTATGTTCCATACAAATTCATTCACTTTTAGTCTACGCATTCATCATTATTACTTATTTCTTGCTACATGTACATAGTCAAAGCAAATGATATATTTTTTAAGTTACCGAACTACATTGGAAGAAACGTTTAGTTTTAAAGATTTGTTAAGAATTCCAAATTTGTATAATTACTTAGAAAACCAACCTTTAAATCCCTAGTTCCCAACCTGGGGGTGTGGGATTAGGATGTCAGGGGTGTGGCCAACTGGTGTAGAGAAGAATTTATTTTGAGTTGAGAGAGCACCTCACATCATCACATGCTGAAAATGTGGATGAAACAAATTTTTGGGGGTGTGAAAGGTACCCGTGATTGCTCCAGGGGTGTGAAGGCTGAAAAGGGTTGGGAACCACTGCTGTAAAGTATTGTAAATGTAAAGATTAACTAGATATATATATATTGTTTTCTATTTATTTACTTTGTTTATAAATTGTTGTACAAAGTTCATCGAGCTTCATTCCAATCAAATCAAATCAAATTATTCTAATCAATTTATTTCATTTTTTAAATTTTTTAAATTGTTCATTGTTGTTAAATTGTTAATTCTTTATTTTTAAAACTTGATTTATTTAATTATTTTGTAATGATTTTACTTGTTTGTGCCAAAATAAAATATGTCAATGTTTGCCCTCTTTTGTTTTCGTTAAAATCGGGAGCATGTCGTATATCAATAGTTATAAGGAAAGGAAAAATTGTCGTTAAGACATTCTGTAACAGTGAATCAACAATTGCAAGGGGAGACATGGAACTGTCGCAGAGGGCAAGCACTGCAACTGTCAGTAGGAACAAAGCATGAGTTTAGGCTTTATTTAGATTGTGGGTAAGAGAGGGTTAGATTCTTTCAAATGTTCAGACCAAGGGTGGAACACCAAATGAAGAAAATACCACAACCAGTCATGTCAAGATGAAGCGGCTTGACACACGTCTATATTACCAAGGGAGGCCACGATCAGAGTTAGTCCATAGACATTACCATGATACGAAGCCATAAAGATTTCTATAATATAACATATTCCAATACGAAACAAACAATAATTTAATAATTGCAAAAATGGTTCAGAAACAATAGTATTCTATCCTACTAGCAAGGCAACGGTTGCACCAGGTCGTCCAGAAGGGTCCGTACACCCTGACCATAGTTATCTGAACTTAGCCATCGACAAATCGGTCTTTAAAAATATCATAACTACGAATTAAACTTCCAATGGAAACTGTGGTGGTTTGTTTTGAAACCTAAAAAAAGATTAACCAATTATCAAACTATGTCTGGAACAATATTAATATTAATCTGGACGTTAACTTAACTTAAAGCAGAATTTTGTTAGATCAATGATGAGAAGAGTAACCAATGCCGCTGTCGTGGCAAGACGTGTAACTCCATTCATGTCAGATAAGTCGTATAGCCTACAAGGTTTTAATGGTTAAGAATTTATACCTTAACTGGTTCCACGTTCTTGGCTTCCTTGACCTTTTTCTGTTTCGGTTGAGGCCTTCTCTTGGGTCCGCGCTTAATATCCCACTTGGTATATTCCTTCATCTGATCATAAACATCCGGGCCTTTCTGTTTGGTTTCAATGCCCATTCCTCTACTTGTTTTGATATTCATACCTCCTCCTCGACGTCTGCGACTCATCTTGGCGGTTAACGCCTCTAAAACACGTTCTGGTAGTGAAATTCTTTGAAGAGGGCGAAGTCCTTCCAATGGAATATATAATCCAAAATTTCTAATCCAAATTCAATGTTTCGTCAGACTAATGATCTCCAGTTCAATCCGTTGCTAAGGAAGCACTATGATGTGGCACAGAACAATGACGAACGTTGCTCCAACTAATGAAGGCTTACTGGCGGCACTTCCCTTATCACTGTTCTACCACTGTTGCTGATGTTGCTGGTTACCTTTACCACTTAGGTTGTATCCACAATCAGTACTTCAGCTTCTACCGCTACGTTTGTATTTACTAGTGCTGATGAAACTACAATTGCTGATGGTTATGGATGACGCTATGGTGTCAACTCACAGGTTACTGTAGTGATATACTTTTGACTACGGTTGATCTTCGTTGGTCGCCGTGTTCATCTGCAACAGCTGCTGTTACCGTTACTACCAGTGTTAGTAAATCCAATCACAAACGCCAGGAATCCAAATGAGCAACGGAACGCATATGGTAACCAGTACCTTCACTGAGATATTTTCCGTATTTGTCAGATATTCAAGATCTCGTCACCACCCAAATACAGTAATTATTATCTAATAAATCTTTCATTATGAGCTAACTTTTAGCCGAATTGATTTATTTCAATTCCGTTACGGACGGTGGGAACGAAACTCGAATATATTAACGTAATAATCCTACGGTCATTTGACTTCTACCTACTTGAATGCATATTCTTATTACGTGTTTCTTAATCTTTGTTATCCGCAGATTACATGGGATCATTACGGATAAAGGCTCCACAACATATATGGTATTTAATGAAAGGGAGATTATCTAGCATATCGATAACTGGCCAAGTACATATACGAACCACACCTTAAGATTTAAAGGAAATATCGTTATTGAGATAGGGCTATTTTCATAGCTTTGAAAGACTCTGGTCTTTCTATAGTGCGGTTTTTGTTACTGTATGTTTTAGGTAAACAAAATTTTATTTTTTTATTCAAGATTCCCATCAATTCTTACCTATATTATACACCTTTCTCCTTCTAACCTTTCTTCTCTCTTTTATTCTTTTCTTCCTTTCCTGAAACAATAAATTATGTCCATATAAACTTCCAAAAACACCAGAACAACGATCAAAGGGCCATAACTCTATTTATGAAAAAATTATGAAATGTGAGAAACATTTGAGGTATCGGCACGTTAATTTTAAACTTATCTCTCACACTTCCAATTGATTCACTTTAGGAAATATTTCGAGGGCGACACCTGACGGTTTTCACAGCAGCAGTCGTCTCCCTGTTGGCACGTGCAGTATGATAGATACTATCTACCAGTCACTTCATTAAGGCTAGATAAAAAATGAGGAATGGCTATTAAAACTAAAGCGAAACGAAATCAACGTGTTGATATGTGTAAGAGATAACTTCACAACATCAAACTGCTGAGATATCTCAAAGGCTATCAGAAAATGGCGAAATTTTAATGAAAGAATTTTTTTTAGGTTTTCATTCAATTTAGTTTTATCTTGTATAAAGGCAGTGAATTATACAAGCGGGGTAATGAAATATTTAAGGTTTTAAAGTTTATCGAAACGAAGATATTTTTTGAAAGTAATTTGGGTTGCGATGATGTTAAGCTGCTACTGGCTCTGGTGTAGGTCGTTTTACATGAAAATCTTTGATGGTTTTCACTAAATACTCCACAGCTGCACATGTTCTTTATGCACAGAAGTGTTAGCGATATCAGTTTCATGAAAGCTGACGACTACAAAATGAAAAGT